TAATAGATTCATACATTTTACAAATAATTTCATCATAAAAATATATTTCTGTACAAAACACTTTTTTATTCTATATGTCATCTTTGTTTTTGTTTCTTTTTTATATGTTTGATTTTTTTTTTCTCAAATGGTGAATACTTCCCATGTTCTCGGGCAGGAGCGGCTATAAGTCATTTGAATCACATGGGTCTTATTGCGGTCAGTTGGTAGGAAAAGCTTGTGGTAAAATAGACAGAAGCATTTAAAAAATAAAAAGAAGAAGACCTGTGACGAAGGATAAACAGGTGAGGGGTTGGTTACTTGGGGCAAAATGTGTGTTTGAATGGGAGKGGGTGTGGCTGTGTACATGTATGTCAATGGCAGGGAGGGTCTCATGGGTTTTGGTAGGCACTGTGTCAGATTTTTAAGGTCAGTTAACAAAAACAAACTGAATAAGCAACAAGAGCGACAACAATCAATTCAAAATGTAATAAAGAGAAATAATGTCACCATGGCGATGCAACGCGGGGACAGTCGATAACCAAGGAAGCCTTTAGCTGCTGCTGCTTTTAAATCATTAATGACTTTAAAAGGAGTTTTGTGTCAGCTGGTGGCAGTTGGTGCCCGTGGTCTCCACAGCGGGGGTGTTCAAAACAGAGTGGATGTTTTTGTGCACCCTGGTACCCAAACTCATTAAAAAGCAGTTATTTATCATGCGAGGGACCTAAAGTGACTAAATTTAGCCTCTCAATCTTCAGACCTTTCAAAATAAAGCAAGCAGACATACACCGGAGCAGCTGAACTGTGACTAATTCTGACACATTACTTTTTTAAGTACGCCGTCATGTTCTGCCCTTACAAAAAAATAAGTTTTATTTGAAGGTAAGGCATGTTTTAATGGGAAAATGAAAGCTAATTAAATGTCTCAGTAGCTGGAAGCAATTCAAAGGTGGTAGATCTTATGGAACGTAAAACTACCAGCCGTATAATCAACTACTGAGAAGCAGATTTCATGCAATAAAAAAAAGAGAAAATGGCTAAAGCAGGGGTGTCAAACTCATTCTCACAGAGGGCCACATGGTGGGCCCTAAAACAGTCAGTTGTAATCAACTTTGACGTTTTGTTTGAGTCATGTTCCTCGTCTCATTGAGCAGCATTAACAGACAATAACTGAGCTCTACGTGTTGTTTCCTGCATAGAAACAGCGCTTTTAACTCGTCCTCTAATAAACATTGCAAAGTACTATGTGTACAACTGACTAAGTGTGAAATAAATAATACAGAAATACTATTAAAGGTAAAAATAAGAGAGTTTTAATCGCTGCTGAGTTGTGATAAGCCTTGAATTCTGAACTCTCCAACTTTTTGGCTGGGAATTCCCATGCAAAATTAACATGCTTTATGGGAGATGTAGTTTATGATCAATGGTGGCTTTAATWAAGGGCTATTAAACTAAATTTCTCAGTGGGGGCCACTGTTGCTCAAAGCCAACAGATCAGGGGCAAGACAAGTTTAATTATCTTTCATCTTTTACATATATTTATTGCACTGAATCATAAAGTAAAAGCTCTCTATTGAAATAAAATATTTTCATATTAATTTAAGCAAAAAAAAACCCAATAATAATTAAATATTTTTTTTGATGGGCAAGACGGAAGTCACTCGCAGGCTAAATGCAGCGCCGGGGCCATAAGTTTGACACAAGTGGGGTAAAGCATTGTGTTTATTCAGTTGCCTCGAGGTTCAGAAGTTTCTAAAAAAATAAATAAACAAAATAAAACTTGTTGAATCATGGTCAAAGCTTAAAACTCAGTAAGATTCTCTGAAAAGGGAAATAACAAAAAATTGAATTAACTAGTTTGATAACGAGATAAAAAAAACTATTTTAATGTGATGTAAGGATAAGATTAAATAGTTTGAAACAGTCTATGGATAGATGTCTAAAGGATGACTGCATCGCCACTGTGACAGTATTGTGTCACCCTGTAACATATCTGTCTTAGCGAATCAGAGGAATAAAACAATGCTCCACTAAATTAGGGGGTTTATGGAATCTGCCAAATGGGATCGCACATTTAGTAAAAAATAATAATAATATCAAAATAATAAACATTTAATGAAACATTTTGGATCTCAAAAAGACAACAATACCACTGACCATGACTGCCTCAGTGATGCTGAGAGGAACTTCATGCTAGACAAGGGAAGTAAAAGAAAAACAATTTGCGTTACAATGGAACCAAAATATGTTTTGTGGTGGTATACATTGTGTAGTTGTGATGAATTTTACTTTAGTTTATTTATTTTTATCTTTTTCTTTTCCTCCTAAAAACTCTGTTATAATCTGTATCTCTCCCGCTGCCCTTCCCCTTGTGGTAAATATATAGCACAAAAATATAGGTGGTGAATGCTCCCGAATATATATGCAATAAATTTACAGATCAGAAGATTCTGCAGCAGTAACAAACAAAGAAAGTAAGCACTCTCAGAGTGCAGAATCACAGTGGAACACTGCCCACGGTCGTAGGGTAAGAACCCTGTTTGTTTTTCCTCTAAACTGTCTGCCACTTTATGTCTACCTGTGTCTCCTGCCCATTAGCCTGACTCTTCCCTGTAAACCTGTTAATCTGTGTTCAGACACAGAAATGACTTTCCTGAACTTGTCTCATTTTGAGCGTTAGTCCGTAATCCTCATTTTAAACATACGGACCTGTCACATTGCCTGCGCATTGTCTCTTTACGCCGCTCGGTCCCTGCGTTAGTCCATCTCTTAGTGCGTCCCTGTGAAATGTGCTTTAGTGCCAGAGCTTCTTCTGTTGCTCAAAGTCTGTTCCTTTGTTAGTCCATCAGAGTCCTCCGTTTCATTCGGCCTTTTTCTCAGCAAACGCTCGTTGAAATTTCCAAAACGAAGAACCTTTTTCCTCAAGGCCACACTCTGTCTGATTTGATATATTATGAAGAAAAGGAGGGCTGACTCCTCACACTGGATTATTTCAGGTTAGACAGGCCCTGATTGGCTGTGTTAGGATTGTAAAATCTCATCTTTTTTTTCGTAAAGACTCTCTTACTCTCCTTCCAGTTCAGTTAGGGGGCTGTCTTCATCTTGTTAGCCCCCTCTCTCTGTTCTGCATCGGACGGGAAGGGGCAGTTTATCTGTTAGATGAGTCAGTCTCTCATCTCTTCTATTAGCGCCAGCTCCACTTTAGGCTCCATGTAGTTTTGCTTCACTCTAATCCCAGCTCAGTTAGGATTACAGCTCCATCTACGAAAGATGTCCTCATCCCTCGCTCAGGAGTTAGTCTCTTTTCAATGTTAGCCTTTCTCAGAGCCCATTTACGTAGAAAAAAMAAAACAAATCAAGAGGCGAGTAAGATTTGTCTCTGGTCGCCACAGAGACAAGAGATTGTCCTCTCCGGTTTGGATGTGGTCATTTGAGAACGAATAACCTGCTGGTGACAGCGTTTTTCTAACTGTCAGTGTTCAACCAAAATGAGTGAGGAGTTTTTCTGTTGTTTTGTTTCACAGTGTCTTTGATGACATCTCTTTCATGTCACATTCCCCCCCAAACACCATCCATAGTTTACTGTGATCGGATTTATCCTGATAGTGTCAGGATTGCCTCAATCTTAGAATCACAGTCAGAGCTCTCTGAATTTGTCTTCTTTTTTCCGGCAAGACAGAATAAAACTTTCAGTGTTTCGAGTCAAAACTTCTGCACTGGGTTGTGGCAACCTGTCACGATGTCTCACTCGCAGGTCATGGCTTACCAACTGTACTGAAAAGTAAAAGAATGTGTGACTTTGCTCACAGTTAGCGCGTCGAGACAGGTTATTTTCTGTCACGCTGTCAGATCTCACTGTGAGTTTCCTCTGATTGTTTGCCTCACTTCAACACAGTAGATGTTTAATTTCCATTTGTGAATGCAGAGCGCTGTTAGACACGGGCACCAACGCTGGCTTTGGSTTCCATTCTGGGGGTACTGGACTCAAAGAGAAGGTTGTTATCGGCATATAGGCCATGTTGTCGAAGGTTTTTCTTTTAGTCCGAGGAGTTTCTCCACCTTCCACAGCCCTGCACCGATTGTGGTCCCATTAGATATCTGAGTCATTAAGTTCAAGATGATCAATCCTCAGACCATGGTGCAAACAGTGTTTAGATTCGGATCGAACCGCACAGCCTTCCCCTCGACAGCTTTGGCGTTTGTGTTGTACATGGGATTCTCAAAGGCAGCCTGGCCGTTGTTGTTTTCATGGACTGAGCAGCCKGTGTACTGCGTTTTTGGTGTGGTTCTGTAAAAAAGAAGAAGAAAACAAAGAAAATGACATGAAAAAAGAACACAAGATTAAGTGTTGGTTATGTTTGAATATTTGCGTAGCCAGCAGACAATGGTGCGCTCCTGGGAGTAGTGGCGGAGTAAACAGGCTTTTAAGCAGAATCAAAGAAAGTGTGTTCTGCTTTTTAGTAAACCTTGTAAGATTCAAAACACCCAATCCAAAACTAATTCCTTCAGCAAGCCATTATTTATATTAATAGCAGAACAGACGTTATCTGCATCTGTTAACAATCTCAACACCAGTCACTTGTGCTTAAACCCTGCCTCTGAAAAATCCAATTTACCACCTTCTAAACATGGATTGTTTTGCAGCACTGTTTACGACAGACACCGACTTAACTGTCTCTTAGCACCTTGACAATCAAACCACTGATGCAGGCATTGTTTTCACAAATTAGACGTCTTCTTAAAATGTTAATGAAGACTCTTTTTTTTAAACTTTTTTGAATGACGCTAACAGTAAACTGACGAGAAGTAAAAAAAAATAAAAAAATGCACTGACAGGAACATGTTCTTCAAAGGAATACGTGCAGGATTTATTTATTTATTTATTTTTAGCTCATACCTCTGCTTGTAAAGATAGAAGCCGAAGCCAGTGAAGATCAGAGCGAAGAAAGGCACCAGGATAGCGATGGCCACAGAGCTGCTGTTGGTACCGAGCTGAGGGGGTGGCGAGTTCTGACTCTCTGACATGTTCAGACCTGTGACAGACGAGGAAGAGATTTATCACTGAAATTTATCTAGGATATATTTTTTTAAATAATACATTTTTTTATCTTGAAGGAAATACATTTTTAAAGTTACTAGAGGAGTCTTTATCCCTTTCAGTTCAGTTGATGTAAGCTTTTTTTTCCCCTGATTTTTAAATTAAAATCCTTTACTGTATGAGAAAACAGTTACTACTAAAAAAACTACTACTACTACTACTACTACTACTACTTCTAAAAAAAATATAAGATTTATTCTTCTGCTGCTGCCTTTCATTTTATTTTATTTTCCTTTGATTGCATGTTTTTCTGTGCTTTGTCAATCTGTGTTACCGGTACTACTACTACAGTTAGCTGCTGCTACAAAAACTAAAAGAAAAAATACCCAGTCTTTGCAGTCCAAACTGTCCGTAGTCTTTTCCCTGAATAAAACCCTGGAATACGTAACTCGAACCATCAGGTTCTGCTGATACCTGGAGAAAACACACACAAAATATGATTGATTGATGAATATTTTGAAAATCAAGACAGAAGAGAGCGATGCAATTAGTCTTTATTTGCTTAGAATCTGTGTTGCCTTGAAAAATAATCCAAAGGCCAATTAAAAAAAGTATTTTCACGCTGAATATGTTTGTCCTATATTTTCAGTGTTTTTAATGAGTAGGATTGTTTTGTTCACCAGTTTACTCACAAATCCATCCATGGTCCAGGAGTCGTCCATGATCTTGGCTGGGGAGATGGCTGAGTCTTTAAGTTGACTTCCCTGGTTGATGTAGTTCACCTGATACATCAGAAGCATCAATCTGGCCTCTGAAGCTTTATAGACTCCTAAAAAAGGACAAAACGATAGGAGATTTAAATATAATTTCACTAAATTTCCCCTGGTAAGATTTATACTCAGAAACTGATGAAGAATGTTTTACAAAAACCACAAAAAGAAGGGATTATTCCCAGATAAGGGCACCTATTTGTGAAATAAGTTGGCTGTGGTTAAAGTGATCCCAAGAAAACTGTAACTCTAATTCTCTCTAATATTACACATCATGATGACACAATCTTGTCAGAAGGACAGGTTTAGGCGTGTCAGCAGGAACATTTTTCAACTTGAGCAGAGATGTCACTTTTTCCCATAACTCCAGTCTTTATGCTAAGCTAGACGACGAACGTCTCAGCATATTTTGGCATCAGCTTTTCATTCGATGCACAGAAGTAAGATTCAGACATAAAATGCTGAACCACTGCTTTAAGACTTGGAAAATGTGCCCATTTAAAGCAAGTGACCTTTCTGTGCCTGCAGCTTTAGCTGGCATTGATCTAAAGCTGTTGTTCTAAAACCAGCAGACAAATGTTAAAAGTGTGATTACAGCTATATGCTTTTTGTGCTTTCTGTTACTCCAGGAACCAATTTTAGCTTCAACGGGATTTGTGTTTTATTAGGGTCTTAACCCATGCTTACGCTGGGGGATGCAGACGTCTGTGTTTAAGTGAGTGGGTACATATTTGTGTGGGGAATTTGCAGGTCTTGGAGTTTAGGAGACCAATAATCTACCATTACAAAGCAGCACACATCAGTAAAAGTGTTGATAGAAGGCGCTCCATGTTACATTTAATGTCTAAGTGTGTATTTATGGATCAATACAGCAGCGGTGTAGTACTGTACTATAAACATGACATATTACCATCACATATCCTATTTTGCTGAGCCGAAGCAAACATTTTCCCATTTGCAGATAGCATTGGAGAACTTAATGTGGAGCCATAATGTAGCTTGCCTGACAGGAGCAGCTCTAGATTGCCATTGCTAAGAGTAACGTTAACTCTCCCGGTCGTGGAGTTGAAGCTGGTGATGCTCAGTGTCATAGGCTGCTTCCTGCCACGGTAATTGTAAGAGCCCTTCCATATGTAATTTGGAGCGAAAACATCATCTGGAACTGCAGAAAAAAAGGACAAAAACAAAAATAAATCAAATTCAGAAGACCTTGTTATAACAGATTTTTATTCTTTTTATTAGACAATAGATACATTTTACTCATCGAACTATAACCTATTCTCTCTTCTGACACTTTGGAATTTTAGGCCCAGATTAGTTTGTCTTCCTTTGCAACCAAATGGCAATCCAGTTTGAACAAAATAGACCAGATATAGATTCCAGTATGGATCTACAGCTTGTGAAATCTCGAGCATTTTTGGATTGAAAAAAACATCAAACCATCTAAGCGCACCCTAACTGAAATCAGGCTGAATTTGGTCTAAACATTACATTTTTATAGACAAATAATTCTAGATTTAGACACTTAATTTAGTCAATATTGACAAAAATAATACTGCTGTGACGATATAACGTAAGCGTTTTGTATTGTAAGCACTACTTGTATCCTACTGAGCTATACGTGACACACGATGAGACTTTTATACAACAAAAGTCAGTTAAGTGATAGCTTAGCTCTAGTTATCCACTTGTTTTTCCTTTATTAGCTGAACTATGTGTATAGCTCTTTTGCACACAGATGGTTTAGTTGCATTATCCACTAATAAAATGTAGATTTAGGAAGTTTCTTTGACGTTTAAACAGTGAATTAACATTTTTTTCAATCAATGTTAAGATGCTGAAATTTTAGCACAATTTACAGACAGGTTTTGTGTCATACTTATTTGTTTAGTTAGTTTAGTTTTGATGCTATATAACGAAGCTATAAAGGCTAAACCCCTTAAATTAAATGTGGTGAAATTGTATCCATTTTTTATGATGCTTTAGGCGAATGAAGCAGTGGGTTCGGAACATAGCCTTGCTGAACACCACATTTGATGATAATGGGTAATAATGCATCAACTGGTCCCTGCTGTTGTATTTTGCTAGCTGGCATTAAACAACAGAGTATGTCAGTAGTTCAAAGCATCTTTGTACCACCTCGTGATCATAAACAGTCAGACTGTAAAGCTGTCTGGCTTTTTAAACCTCCAATTCATTTCTGGATTTCTGCCTTAGTGATGATGACTGAATCATGCTCTGAGGGATTACTGTGGTCTGCTCGTAGGCCTCTCACCAACTTGGCATCAGTGTTACGGGATGCCTCTTTTCCCATATGTCTTTCTAATACCGCACTGTCTCAGGTCTGTCCTTGTGCTGCTGTTTCCCTGGAGCTGGTACTGCATTCTCGATGGGTCTTTTCAGAGCAAGCCATTTATTTTCTTTGACTTCAGCCTCCCTGGAGTTTTGTCTCAGTTTAGAAGGCATGGCTGAGAGTCTTTATTGGCCAATTCTCTATGTGGGATCAAATCTTGGCTCCCAGTATTTTTTTAAAAAAGGTTTTCTTGCATAAAATTAACCAAAATAAACATGTAAGTAACTTCAAGCTTTTGAAATTTATGTACTTTTTTAAAACCTTTACAGCTGTAAAAAGAAACAAAATCTTTATCTGCTGAATTGTGGGGATTTTTTTAGGTTCAGTGCCTGGTATAATTGGTACACAAAACTGTGGATGGTATATCTACTGGATTTTCTAGTGAAAAGAGAGCACAGCTGAAAAATACAGAAGTGAACAAAAATGTAGCCGAGAATCACAGCAGATCATTTACTTTTCCCTGTGTTCTTAGAAGAAAAAAAATGAATTATTTAGAACTATGACCGAGAGCATTAGAGTATCTTAAAACCAACAAGAAGACAAGAACAAAACTGAGAAGAAAACTGAAATCACCGAGCCTCACACTAAACCACGCTGAAACAGAATAGCTGAGGAATGGCATGAATAGAAAAGGAATGTTCTAAGCTAAAAAAAAAAAATGTCTGTAATATAACTGACCATTAAGCTTTGGACCGGGGGTTCCTGTTACTGGCTTCACAGGTTTCTTCTTTTCTCCAGCTGCAATAAGAGACAGAGACAAAATAAGAAAATATTTAAAATGCTGTAGTTTACTTTTTGTTTCTTTTGCTAGAGCTTTCCATTGATGTTCAAAAATCAGTTTTATCCATGGTAAGCAAGTTTTCTGCTGCCAAATCACCACATTAGAATGCAGCGCTGGTCACTCTTAGTCACACATGTGCATAATGAGTGAGGAGTGTTTCGAAAAGGGCCAAGCAAAATAAACCTCTTTAATGAGAATTTGTAGGCAGAGCACTACAGAGTTTGTGACCAATAACAGTGATGCATATTGGATCCATTTAAAAGTAGATGTGAGACACTTGGTTTGGACTGAGAGCAGCTTCTATCATCTCTTCATGATGCAGCTAATTGTTTCCTGAGTGAAGACACGCGAGTGGGGGAAATCCTGTGTCCCAGAATCGCAGAGTTGATCAGAGAGCGACCCGGTTTTAAAGACTTCTTCAGGGCAATGACGGGGTGGCTGCTTTCATAGACAGATTCTTTATTTATTTATTTTTTAAACAGCATGCCATTTTTCATTGCACAAATACTGTAAATCCTCACTGCTTTGTTTGTTAGCAGTTTTGGCTAAAAACACTGCAGATTTAATTAATTTAATCATCATCTGTGCTTACATGGCATTCTGTGGAAACGTTTTTTTATATTAGATGGCTGAAGAATGCACCTTTTTTTAAAACTGGCTTAAAGGGATGATTGAATATTGTAAAGTGGGGCTTCTGTGGTAAAGGTTGAACAGTTAAAATGTCCAACTTGTTGTGTATAATTATGGTCCTATGTTGAAAATAGCAGAACTCCGAGAGCAATTAAGAACAAAGTGGATGGCTGCTCTTCAACAATAAACATTAATGCAAACACCATTTTATAAACTTTTACTTAACTATCTTTTTTTTTTTTTGTATTAAAATGTTATTTACAAAAAATCCAGTGCTAATTTCCATTGCGCTACTAGCAGCAGCTAGCTGTGCCACTTTATGGACAGCTTGGGCACATTTTATATTATTCCTGCTAGAACGACCATGTTAATGAAACTTGACATCATTATTAGCTTTTAAAATAACAGTCACATGAACCAATGTGAAATATTTTACAATAAAAAAAAGTTCTTATTAACCTCACACAGAAGCCATTAGCTCGTTGTCTGGTCAGAATGAAATTATTTCTGTGAACTGTTCAATGAGCTATCTACAACAGGTAATATACTAATTGTTCAGGAGTTTTCTACAGGACCACACATCAAGAGATTGGAACCTAAGAATAAAAAAATATGTTTTCCACATACATGGTTGGACTATAAAATAATAAACATTACAGTTGGTACTATAATAAAATCTTCAAAGACAAAAATCAACGTACAACAAATATTCTTTATCAAACTTTTGAAATAATGCTCTATAAGTTTAAGCTGCAATATTTAAATTCCACAGAAGTTTTAAGCTACAGAAGTTTTACTTCTAATCTTTTTAAAAACTGTACAACAGGCTAAACTCACAAAGACCAAACAACATGCTTTTCTTTCTTTGCATTCAAGCTTTCAGAATCTCCAGCAGTCCACAGGCTGTCCACCCCAGCAGTAAATCTTTCACTACTCCAGATGGTCCAAAGTGTCCTTGAGCGAGACTCGTCTGTCTGTTTATGCAAGTGAAACGGCTCGAGATAAGACGATCAAACAAATGCACTCGACGCCGATACTGACACTCGAAAGCAGAGGAGTGAATCACATACCTCTACATATTGGCATCTTTCCAGTCCAAGTGCCATCACTCTTGCAGACTCTGTGTTCGGAGCCCCCTGCCAGGAAGTATCCATGTTGACAGCTGTACACTAGTGTGTAGCCGAACCCCGGCAGATCCATTCCCACCACGTCCACATGGAGAGGGCTCTCCGGCTGCTTACAGGCGTGAGCTGCAGGTTGGAGAGTTACATTGTTCGGTTCAGTAAGAGTCTGTCAGATGGTTAGAGGTGAAAAGGGGAACAACGTTGAAAAGATGGATCTTTCGTACGTATGCACTCGGGTTGTGTTCCAGTCCAAGTCAGATCAGGCTGGCAGGTTCGAGAAGAAGAACCCTGAAGCAAATGACCTGGATGGCACTGAAATGACACCACACTCCCCACCTAGTTAGAAAGAGAGACAGAAAAGCACACAGACGAAGAGAGCTGAAGAGGGCTCTGTTTGCACAAGCTCGGGAAGTACTCTCCGAGGAACGACACGGCACTGAAAGGTTATAACAGATGTCACAAGTTCATTTTATCTACCGTAGTAATAGTATGAGATGGATTCGAAACGTTCTAGCAAAAACAAAGATGTATGTATAGAAAAATATTTGCATCTAAGTGCTTTAAAGCACATTTTGAGAGGACCGTGACTCAGACAAATATGTTTATGAGGAAAACATGTGCAGCACATAATGACTGAGCAGTGACTAAGCAACTAACTTCAACAATAGCTGTTCACTGAACGTTTGTTTTCATTTTTATGTTCGTGAATATTTTTTTGAAACATCTATTTAGAGAGCTCATTCTAAGTACAAGTATTTTCTTCAGTTTACCCGGAAACAATCTAAACCCAATCATGGTCTCATTCTAATCAGTGACGTCTTTGTGTTTTAACTGTATAGTTTTTTTTCCAAGGGAAAATAGCAACTCATGTTGACCTTAAATTAGGCAGGCATTAAGCATAAAATAATAAAACTTATTTGTGTGTTTGAAAGGACATTTTAGGGCTTTTATTATTTCCATCAACTCAAAAACATGAACCTTAAAATGACTGCGGAAAGTTATCATTTTTTCCAGAATAATACAGTTTGTCATCATTTATCTCCTGCTGCATTCAGTATAGCTGGAGTGTAAGAAACTTTTTTTTTCCTTTTCTTTTAGTTTAATGTACTTTAAACTTTATGACTATTTGCCTAACTTGAGAGAAATAAGTGAAACTGTTTTATTAGTATTTAAATCAGTGTTTTATTTCTCATCTATAAAAACAAGTTTATGGTTTTGTGATTTTTCCCCCCACCCTAACTGGAAGATAAAATTTTCTATTGTGTATTTACCATTGAATGCACCATTAAGCTATAACTAACAATAGAATTTGTTAAAACAAAAACACTTATTACCAGTATTATTGCCTTGGATGGCTGTCAAGAGTATTTCAGTGTTTGTATCTGTGGTGCAATGATTTAATTACCTGAACCGGTTCAACTCAAAACTTGCAACAAGATTGCAAATAAAAATAATAAAAACAAAAAATACAAATGTGTTGATGTTTAATAAGCAGATGAGGTGAATGTGGTATTTGAGAATAAAACTGTGCCTGTCTGAGTCCAATTAAATGTCAATCCTGTTCATCAATGAATTATTACATAGGCTATAGCTGGATGAATCAAATCTTTCACAATTCCTTTTCCTTGACTTTTACCTACCAGTGTCAAGCAGATTTTTCTTCAGGTCAGACACATCTTTGGAGATGTTTCTTCTCTGAAAAGGTCAATATTTTGGCTCTAAAACCTGCTATGAAGCTGTAAAAGTGTTTTTTTTTTTGTGTGTTTGTGCGTGATCAGTACAAACCCCACCAAGTTCCAGAACAATTAGAAGTTCTAGAAGTACCTACAACCTCCATTCCACTGAAGTCTGGATGCTTTGTGTAAAAATAAAAACAGAATACAATGATTTGCAAATCATTTTCAACCTATATTCAACTGGAAACACTTCAAAGACAAGATATTGTCTCCAGGCAGGCGAGTCTGGTGTGTGAACTTTGCCCCATCCTTTTTTTTTATTCATATATTTATTGGTATTTTTGCATATGGAACAAAGGTGTTTACAAATTCCAGGGTATAAGAATGCTGGCACACACAAACTGTTTACACCGTTGACTTTAAGATGCATGTTTTCAAGAGCAAAGAACGTACACCGAACACCTCCAATAGTAAAACAGTGAAATAAAACTAATAGTAAAGACACACACACACAAAAAAGGAAAGAAGGACAGCTGGGTGCATGGGGGTGGGGGATTACATTTCTACATTGAAGCAACAAACTCAATAAATGGTTGCCATTTAGAGTAGAATTTGTTCAAGTTTCCAGTTTTTGTATATCTAATTTTCTCAACTTTCATAAAGGACATAACCTCATTTATCCACATTGTGCTGGATGGACCTCTAGTTGATTTCCGAACCTTGCCCCATCCTTGTTTGTGAACAACTGAGCCTTTCGGGGATGCCCTCCTAATATCCAATCATGACACTCACCTGTTTCCAATGAAATGCTCTAAACAGGTGTTTGTTGAGGATTCCTTAACCTGTCCCAACTTCTTTGGAACATGCTGCAGGCATCGAATTCAAAGTTTATCTGATTGAACATTAAATGTCTTGTCTTTGTAGTGTATTCAGTTGAATATAGGTTGAAAAAAACATTGCAAATCGTTGTATTCTATTTTATTTATGTTTTACACAACATCCCAACTTCATTAGAATTGTGTTGTAAATTATAACACTTATGATATTTTTTTTATTCTGAGTGATCTATAATAGCCAAAACCCTATAGTGAGGGATTATAGATTGGGGATTAGGCAGCGATAATGTGTTTGCATTTCTAGTCTTACATATGCATAAAACATCTTTTCAAGCATTGAAGATGGATGACTTGCCAGGTGCTGAGCAGAGCAGATCTGCACAACCATGCACCTTTTCACGTCTGAAAAATTAGTTGTAACTTGTCGCTGAGCATCACAAAGAAGCAACGTTATTTGATGCCAATTTTTTAATTGCATGTTGTGTTCAATGACCCTTTTCTCTTCATTAGTTTCACATACTGTAATATTTACTTCCTATGTAAATCGCCTTTATTTAACCAGATAAATAAAACAAAACAATAGTGCTATACCAACTGAACCATATAATGGCCCTAACAGGGATTAAAATCACAACGGTTAGGACAACACAAGCAATAAATCTGAAGAACATGCAACAATTGAAATACTGACAATGAATAAACATGTAGCTAAAGGTAACATGGATCAAAAGTCTTACTAGTTTCACTTCCATGTGTTCATTAAACAAGTTCCACTCTTATTTTGTGATGCATTCATATACGAGAAAAATAAAATTAAAAAATAGAGTTTTTTTCTTATCTAAGACTTATATTCAGAGTTTCAGTCTTTCTTTTTCCACCTGCTTCTACTCTTCATGTTTTGCTCTTTCTAGGTCTTCAGCTTGCAGTTTGCTCCTGGTAAAGCATCAACAGCAAAGACTTATATAAATAGTTCCGAAAGAATTAGTTTGTCGGAAAGTGTTTTTACCTTAAAACCATAGGTCCGATTTAAGGAGCCGTAGCGCGGCGTTCCTGGGTTATCACAGCTGGTTTTGGTTGGTTCTGGAAAAAAAATATTAAATAAATAAATAAACAGCTCATGAGTGTAAGTAAATGCACACAAAATCTTAGAGAAAGATAAATTAACAGCAGGATTTTACATCCTCTCTCAAGTCTACGTTTCTCTCCCCCTGTTGTCATGGTAACAGTGGGTTGTGCACCCCATCGGGACAGCAGGGGGCAGTAGTAGTTTATTAGAAAACGATGCCGGGCCTCTAAGAGTTTATGTATGTGTGTGTGTGCGTGGCAGGGTCATCAGCATGTAGAGCACATCCTGACGCAGAGCTCGATTCAATACAGCTTCCAAAATGACAGATTCACTCTCCTCCTCTCCTTCCCTCTCTTCCTGTACCTCTCTATCCGCTCCCCCTTCCCTCCATCTCTCTTGTCTCCTTCTCTCCCATCTTTGTAACCACACTTTTCCTCTTCATTTCTATCTTCCCGTGTCACTATCCCTCCAGCCGCCGCCCCCGCTTGCCTCGTCTGTCTTATTTAAAGAGCAGGCTGCTTTAACTCAAAACTCATTCTGCTTCAGTCACACGGTAATACACATCACACACCGACATACAGCTGCAAACGCACACTAATAAATCACTCCAGCACACATGTGCTCCAACGCTCTTTTTCTGAGCACTTTTTCATCGCTAGGAAAAAAAAAAAGAAAAAAAACTGAAGCGCTAAGAATCACTTTAGGTTTGTGTGTAGGCTTGTGCATGATTAACAGCGTCAGATTAAAAATAAAAGATATTTACGAAACACAACAGATAGATTCTCTCTCCGCGGCGGCGTACTGTAGCTACTTTCTTCTGCGGCGGTTATAAATTAAGGCTTTTCATCAACGAGGCAACTCTTCACGGGCAGCATTTTAATTTTAGATCATCTATTTCACAGGGAAGATTAGAGTTTATGGCCGTGGTAAAAGTGCTGGATGCGAAGTTTGTTTTATCAAGTGTTGAGAGGGAAGCCGAATGTTAGTTTTCCTAACAAAGGCTCTGATTTATTACAGCTCATCTTTATTACTTGATGGTGAAAATCCTGTCCTGAGTCTAACGTTCGCGGTTCTTTAAACATTCCAGGAAGCAGTGAACTGACCCTGTGGCACCATTTTAATGTGCACTAAATTTCTCTACCAGACCATCAGAAAGTTAACGTTATCACTTTAAGAACTTTAAGGGTTATTTTTATGATTGAAGATGCACCAATTGTAGGTACACCTTTTTTTTTTCTCAACGCTCCGACCTGCTGATTTCAAGTTTGGTTAGTTCTAAAAGCTACAACTTCATGCATGCATTTTATTATTTTGCAGTGCAGTCCTAATCAAAATGAATGTCCAGTTGCGCAGCCTGCATTTCAGCAAACAATTTGATAGTCATATGGCAGAATAACCTTGATAAACTCCTCTAGAGGCTCTCCATCTGTGCTCTGGAAGATCGTCCACTGTCCTTCTAGCTGACAAGCCTTAGTGTCCTGAAGGACCCAAAATGTTTTAAGGTGTGTTCAAGCAAATCAACATATCAACCACATTTTTGCTATTTCCCCCTCACACCAGGTTGGTATGTTTCATTCAAAAGCACGGGGACCCATAATCTGGTAGTGGGAATTATCGTGCAAGCATAGCGTTTAATCAGCTGGCTCACAGTGACCTTTATAAAAGAGTCCACTCCTTTTGTTGAGGTAGGATTGGAAAGCGGCAAAACCAGTGAGTTAAAACTGAGATTCTTTATTTAAAAGGAAGTTAGAATTCTTAGAGTATTTGATATGCAGGACCACACCTAAGATATTGATTCTAACAGATTCAAGTCAGTTTATTATGACTATCACAAGGTTTTCCTTAGGCTCTTTTACAGAGCAGTTGTTGCTCTTCACCACAAACCCACCTATGTATATTAAATATGAGTCATTTGTGCTGCCCACAGTACAAGATAATTACCGAGTGGTAATAGCTGCCTTTGTCTCAGAGGTCATAAATTCACAGGAAAAAAACTTTAAGCCCTATCCATCATAAATAAAATCCCCTTAGCAGTAATGATGGTTGGTACAGTGGTGTTACAGCCGGGTACAGACTGTTCTTGTTAAGCAGGGGGTCTCATGTTATTAATCATAAGAAAACATATGTACAGCAAAGGGACAGCATTAAACACTAGTCTGAAATCCCGTGCTTTGATATGTTATTTAAAAGAAGATATTTCTTTTACGAGGACGACCTCTTGAGAAATCCCGCTCAGAAGTTGGAATGCTCCAGTAGACCGAGCGGCTCCGCCTTTTAATTTGATCCCAGACTTTGAAGTGGGGAGGACACCCCTGTCTGGGGACGCTTTGCTGTGCTCCAAGTCATAAGGAGGTGGTGGGGGATACATGATTGATGATGATTAAGTCAGAAACTGTTTAAAAGCAATTGCTTAAGATTTAAATCGATGGTTGGTTGATTTTAAAAAAACATTTGTGTTGTATTGAGAAATTGTTGGATTATTTAGATACATTAACCTTTAAACATATTTGGTAAAGTCCTGTTGAGTTGTTTGATAAAGACCAGTCAAACTAAAGCTAATGCTAACGCTAACCCTAACCCTAAAATCTAAAGACATTTCTGCACAGCATGTACTTGAACCTAAATGTCAGATTGTTCCAATGTTTTCTGCTGGACAGTCGAGGATTCTGCATTTAAACCTCTACATTCTTTCGACTACAAACAATTCAGTGACAGATAATATCAGTTTTTGTCTTGCTATCTGCACTACATGTGCATCTTTAACATCAGCAGTTGGGGGGAAACGACATACATGAGAGATGTAAAGAAGTGGCTGATATCAGCATGCACACTCTGGAGAGTTACCTGCTCTGTGCAAACCAGGGCTCATTCTAAGATGTTCTTTTTTTTAATGCAAATGTTTCTGTGTGCAACCCATTTTAATAAAAGTTAAATAAAAAAAGTTAAAAAGCTAAATAAAAGTTTTTCTTATAAAAACACCTTTTCAAAGCAGATGAGAGGATGGCGCAAGTTTTAAACAAATTGTGATTTCTTCAGACTTTGATTCCAAGAAAGCTGAGTTTCCTGAAATGTTATACAACGATCTTGATCAGGAGTTCTCCTGGGTTTTTGAAGGTGTTTTAAAGTTTTTCTTTGGACTGGTGCTGCTTTTTCACCCATGTTCTGTTAAGCCCTTGTACCCAACCATGAGAGCATAATTATGCAGTGTGTGCTTTAAAAAACAAAGAAGTGAGGAAGTGAAGGACACGGGGAGTGGTGTCAAGTCTTAAAACTATCTACTTAAGATGGACAGTCATGTCCCTAAAAAAAAAAAAAGAAAACAATATAACAAAGACTTGAAACAAGATTTTAGAGCTGCACCATACATCAGCTCATCATGTTTTAAGCTAATGTGCTTAGTTTTTAGCTAAGCTCAAATATCCCATTCAAATTTGGTTCGTTTTCTGTTTTGTGTCGACACAACAAGTTCTTTGAATTAGAAGTTTTTAACATGTCTGAATGATTCAGAGGTCAGTCAGAGATAAGTGGCTAAACAAACAAAAAAATATTAAAAATATGGGTATGGGAGAGAATATTCATTTAGGTAAAGTTCAAATTATTTGGTTTTCTCTTACAATAAGTGTAGTTTTAAGGAAACCCAATATCAAAGCAAGCTGCTCGACTTAGATTATCACAGTATTAAGCATTATGATTTCAATTTTATAGGTGTTTGATAAATAAATAACACATTTTACCAATGCAGCGTGGTTGTGTTCCACTCCAGTTGCCATCGCTTTCACAAAGTCTGGTTGCTGTGCCAACCAGTACCAGAGGTGGGGAACAGCTGAAGGACACTTCCGATTGATAGATGAAACTCCGCCCCTCTCTGAAACCACCGACAAGAGTTCCGGGGTCGCCACAAAACTTGGCTGTAAACACAAAAAAAACATGGAAAATTACATATAGCTGCTGCATTAAAAAAATGCTGACAAGTGCTCGCTATTTTAAAACACTCAAGGGCAAGCGGAGATTTTGTCTCCCGTTGTGAGGGCCGCTTGCTGAAGAGAGGATGTTCTTGAGCCAGAGCAAATGGATGCCTGTGCAAGCTTCGTGTGTATGTGTGCATATGCTTACGCAAGCACTGAGGAAGCATGCCGCTCCAGGTGCCGTTGGCCACACAGGTCAGGACGGCCGGGAATGAGAGCTCGTATCCAGGTGAGCAACTGTAGCTGACACTGCTGCCCCATTCAAAGTCACTGCCCTGCAGTACCCCATTGCTGATGGCAGGGGGAGCCAAGCAGGTCACCGCTGGGAGAAGAAGAAAAGGGAGAATTCAGGAAATATAAGAGAAAGAAAAAAAATATAAATAGGTTTTGTAGGTGATATACATATTATGTACATTTACTGCTTTACTGCATGAAAATAAGTACTGATAAGGTGCCATGTGTGTTTGTCTGTAGTTTTGGTAAAATACCTCATGAATAACTTTTGTAGTTATTAGTTGTGTTTCCACTGACCATGAAAATGCGCAAATTAGAATTTCGAAAATAAATTTACTCAATGGAAACATGTCAATTTTGAAAAAAAAAAAAACTTCCTTTTTTCAGCAAAAGGTTTTTGCGCTAGGATGAGGTGGTTTTTCAGCCGTATCAAAATTGGAGTGTTTTGCAAAACTGCAATGGAAACACTTTTTTCGCATCACGGGAGTCACATGATCAACAACCGGCTGTTTCTACTGGCTAAAAAGACGACGACAAAGAAGAGGACAGGAAGTAGAAGTAGTAGTGAAATCAACAAAGTTGTAAAAGAAAGTAGTAAACTCACCGACTACAATTACCCAAAAACGCCACATATGTAGCCGCTTGAGTTTTGTCACTCGAAAGCCTTGATAAGATGCCGACGTGTCCTCTGATGGCTGATGATGAGCGCTTGTATCGTGGTAGCAATATGCTATGTGTTTACATCCATTGCCGCTATGTTTGTAATGACTTATCACGAGAACAAACATATTCACGCATGACTTCAATAGCATTTCTTACTTAATGGAAACACCACAATTGCGAAACTGTGTTTTTCGACATTAACCGAATATCAACAAAGTGTTGTGCACATTTGCAATGGAAATGCTAAAACACATACTCAGAAAAAAATCTTGTGACATCACATGACATTCTACGTTACGTTATTTTTAAGTTTTGACCAAAATGGCTGCACATTTGTCATTTCTTAACATAAACTTCTAAATATAGACAAATAATTTAACGTACTACTCACCTGTACACATAGGCATGTTCCCACTCCACGTGCTATTTTGAGTGCACGTCCTCAGCGGTGAGCCATCCTCCTCCATTCTATACCCCGGTTGGCACTGGAAGGAAATATTCTGACCAATTGTGAAGTCTTCTCCGTAGCGAAGGCCGTTAGCCGGCACACCAGGATCCCCGCAGTTTATCACTGTAGAGAAGAAGACAAGAGGTGTTGATGTAAAGGGAGGATGGAGTTTAGCTGGCAAAAAAAAAAAAAAGCTTTAAGACATGATAATGAGAATTTCAATTTGGTTTTCTTTTTCATGGAAGCACAGCAAAGATGAAAAGTGAAGACTGACTGATGGTGAAATACAAAAAAAGTTGTTCTCAAAATCAGACAGTAAGAAATTAAAGCCCTGTGATTTGTATTTCTGATCTGAGGTTTAGATTTTTTACCTGAAAAAGAAAAAAAAGGCCAAATTAGTCATTTTTGGTTGATTTTGATTTATGAAAAATAAGTTTATTAAGCGAATGGATGACAATCATCAATTACTTTTTTGCTTTTTCAACTATTTATATACCAAAACACACAGTTTCTTCATAACATTCTGGCTCAATGAGTTTTGGTATTTCAGCAATTTCTACTTGTTGAAACATTTAGATTTTTCTGCCATTTTATTTATTTTTTCATTAGAAACTAATGGAGTTGTCCTCAAAATTTTTAAAACCTTTTAAATCTTTATAAATCTTTATATGTATGGTTCATATTTAGTTCTGGTTCTGCTTTTTTAACTTCTTTGAGCTAAGTTCAGCTTACTTCAGCTTCTTCTTTTGCTTATTAAATTTTTTTCCACTAATTTTAGTTATCTTTCTGCTCTTTTTTAGCATTCTTCTGATAATTTCTATGTTTTTGTTCTTCTTTCAGCAGCTTTCTGGCAATTCAGTAGTGATTTCAGCTATTGTTTGGCTGTTTTCAGCTAATTGTTGCTTTTTAAAGCTAAATCCATCTTTTTGTGATAATTTAAGATTTGTGTTGCTTAATTTAGCAAACCTGCTCTTTGTTTCTTTGTGCTAATTGCAGCTTTTTCTACTACTCCTTAGCTACTTTTTCTTCTAATTTCAGCTGCTTTAGCTAGTTTACAAAAAAGTGCAACTCTTTTTGCTATTAAACAGGTTTAGCTTCTTCAGCAGCTTTCAGCAAAAATAAATCTTTCAGCATTAAGCATTCTGCATTTCACAGGACATGCAAATTGTCCAGTTGTGATTGTGTTTATAATATATTCTTTGTTCATTGATAGGGACTGAAGAAGCTCAGTGATCAGTGCCACATTACTTCTGTAATTGTAATTCTGAGGCCAGAGGTTGGAACCCAGTTTGCATCAGGAAGGGCATCTGGTGCAAAACAATTGCTTAATCTTTTATGCAAGTTCACTGGTGACCCCTTCAGAGGGTAGCAGTCTAAATTAAAATAATAATATTTGCCTAAATATGAAAACAGAATAGGAAAAATGTACAGCAAAATATATATTATAAAAAAACCATTGCTAAATAAATATTAGAAATAAAAGTAAAAACTAAGAAACTCTTTTCTGAATCTCAGTTTAAAATGCTTTGATTAAAAGGGTATTGCAAATTCAGAAGCAGTTATTTGTTTGCAAGCTGTATATATTATAGCTAAATTACCATATAATTTTTTTCTTTCCTTTGAGGGCTTTACTTCTCATAAATGAAACAACAGTGATATTAAAAACTGTCGAGGTTGTCTTGGGACTATTTTAAGGCGCATTAGGATTCCCCTGGTGGTACTTTTAGGCCACTGTCCTTCATAGTCTAATAGGCAGTTTAACTGCTTTAAAACCCACCCCACATACTGTCATGCCTGTTAATGGCTGTGGTGTAATCTACTGTAAAAGCCAGCTCTTCCCTTTAAGTCAGACGTCTTATAAACTGTCTTTTACTTCCAAGAATCCCTGATTCAAGATTTTTGCTTCTCAGCAATTTTATCTCTTTGTCCTTTTATTCTGCCCTGCTGGATATTTCATGGCTTATTTCTCCGCATAGTGCATTAAAGTCAGAAATGTCACTGGAATTAGGAAAACATTAAGATATGACATTCAGACACAAAGTGGAAATGTGGATCTCTGTAAGAACAAGTATTAGAATGCCTTATGCCAATCCTGGGGTTTTGCGTTTAACTTTAACGAGGATGGCAGCAAGTAAATCCTGCAGTGGCACCATAAACATGCAGCACTGATTAACACTTGCTCAAGTGTGGCTTTGGTCATATATCACACAGGAAGAGACTTTTATATTTTATGGTTATTTACCCTTTGGAGTTTTCCCACAGGGTTCAAAAAGCAAATTAGCTAAAGTAAACAACGATCAAGGTTATTCATGCCACTCTATAAAGTGAGTTGCAGGAGCATAAATATTAGAGTTTTAGATCATTACTCAAGCCTTATATTGTTGCAGAATAATTTAAAACTAGGCATAAAGTAATGTCACAAAAAGGTGGGTTCTGGCAACTTATAGTATAATCCTCATAAGCAGTTTGGTGGTTTGAGTTGATTTGATGTAACTGCAAAGTGAAATATTTGTTAGATTACATTAACAGTAGATGTTGAACGAAGATAGTTTCTTTTTTTTTTTTTTACAAAATTACAAAAGACTACAGCCAACATAGAGTAGAAAGTTGTGTTTACAGGTTACAGCTCATACTATATGTACAAAAACAAACAAACAAACAAAAAAAAAACAGGAAATCAAAGGCAACTGAAGGGAATCGTGTTGTTGCCGAAAGGAACAATGGAGTTCAGAACCATTTAAGCATCCTTACAGAGTTTTAAAAAAGAAAGCTTTACTACTTTCCTTAGGAGATACAGTGTGTCATTTTTCTTTCAACTTCCATTGGGGTTTTATTCACACAGCTTTTATGTTATAAATCTACATGTGCAACAGTCAGTCAAATGTCAGACTCTTTAAGTACTTGGGTATGGCTTCTCCCCAAGCTGACTTGTGCTGTGATGAGTCTGCGTTTAAACTATAATAAAAAAGTAGCATTATACCCACAAACAGACCCAAGTGTCACAAAAAATAAAGTTAAAAGCTGAGTTTAAACAAGCTAAGAACTTTATCACAGGTTTTGCCATTTTGCACTTGAGCTGGACTGACTTTTAGGGGATTATCCCTTCTGTCAGCCCTTTGAGCTGCTCGATAGTCCTGTGGGCGCCTGTTGGTGCAAAGGCTCTGAAGAATCCTTTAATAAAAGCAAGCACGAGAGATTGAACTAAAAGTAACACCTGGCATCCCAAAGTTTAGTTTAAAATTGTTTTCACTGCATCCATTAACATAACAGTCATACCACTCCCATTCTAAACACTGGGTTTACAAACACCTCTTTACCAAAGTTTCTGATTGGCTTTGTTAGAGGCAAAACTAAAAAAACCCTCACTTTGTCTTTAACCTTATTGTTTGTTATTAACTTTTATAACTTCTGAATATTTGAGTTTGCAATTAACTTTGTAGTAGGTTGCCTTACTTCTGAACACTGTCATTCTTCTTAAGGCTGTATCACTGAATATCATGATTACAATATCATCGTTCACAATATCAATAATGCAAATATTACTATTTGGACTGTGGTACATGGTAGGATGATGTTTTATACTGACATATTACCATTAGATAATGCCATGGTATAGGGGGTATTGCCAAGGCGGGACATTGTCGGTGTATGGTCTGTGGTTTGTTTATTTACTTTCTCCTGGTTTCGACATCTCACTATCACCGCTGGACTTGTGGTCTGGTGGTTTATGCTTTACTGGCTCAAGAGAAACTGATGGTGGATTGAGCTGTTTCTTTCATGAGACTGTTTCCTTCTGCCTGCCACTGCAACACGCATCAAGTAAGATGGTCATGTTCAGAAAAAAACAGTGGTGTATACTATTTATAATACCTTTTGTTATATTTGGCAACACAATTTAAAATTTGGTGTATAATCTCAGAAAAGGCCTATTTATTTGGCTAGAGCAATTTAAATGGGCCATTTGAGTCTCCAGAGGGTTATGATTCCATCATATTTTTTAAACACCGTCACCTYATTTCAATATCTAGGTATACCACAATACTGTCATACCAAGCTGAGTGTCACACATTTACATTCTGCACACCAATAATATAATTGGCGAGTTGGATGGATTATCACAACCCTTGACCTGATTTACTGTATGTGGTAGTGGTCATGATGGTAAACCAGGTGGAGCGTTGGGAGCACTGTGATGTTTCACTTGACGCTGCATTTGAGGTCAGTTTAAAACTGATGTGTTGAAAAAATTGTCTTTTCCGAAAAACATAAAAAAACAAGTCTTAGCAGGTAACTTACTGGTACAGTTGGGTTGTACTCCTGACCATGTCCCATTGGCCTGACACTGACGGGTGGTGGTACCAGTGAGTAGGTATCCGTCCATGCAGGAGTAGATGACGGAATGAGAGAAAGTAGTTCCGTCTAGACGAAATACTCTGCCGTTACTTGGAGTTCCAGGATTGCCACACTGAACCGCTGCAGAAAACATAGCATGAGTACAATGAAAGAAAGTCAGTTCTATTGCGACGATTTTAACAGGAGACGATGGGGAATGGATGCTGGGTGGGTATAAACTAAGATCAGTTAGCAGCATCATCATACGTTTGCAAAAGGGCTGCGTGCCAGACCAGGTCCCATTGGGAAAGCACATCCTTTCTGAGGACCCAATGAGTTCATAGCCTTCCGTGCAGGTGAAGAAAACCTTGGACCGGATCCTGAAATCTGTTTGTTCTCTGGAACTGTGGGAGGGAATGCCGGGATCACCGCAAGAGCCAGCAATGTCACCTACAGAATGTAGAAAAGAAAAAAGAAAAAAGAAACTCCAGTAAAATCATTGCTGTATTTCCAAAATGACTAATAAACCCAATAAATATTAGCATAAAGCTAAGAACAATCTAAAATTTGACATTACTTCAGTACTTACCTGTAAATAAGTTGATGAGTCAGCATTGTGAACACATGGTAGTAATTTTTTGTGTAATTTACATTCTTATTGTACACCAGTGTAAAACAGCTGCTTACAAATAGTAGCGGACTGCACACATTATATTTATGACAAGGGCCATATGTTTGCCCTGTGACCGCATGTGTGTATGTCCACGCATGCTGACGCATATCTGTGTGGCAGCTTGCGTGAATGTGTGTGTGTACCTCACTCTGCCCTTGTACAACACAACCGCCTGGTCAGCAAAATTCTGTCTGACAAACTAAGCACACTCCTGGGAGCGTACACACTTTCGTGCACAAAAAACACACATTTTCACACAAATGCCCGTGTCTAGACTAATGCATTGCTGCTCAAACATTTCTGATGTGTGCTGCCCATTTTGTTAATGATATGAAATTAGCTTTAGGTTATGTGTGCATTTGATTTATTCCACGATTTGATGAATTTCTTCAGGCTTTGAGTTTTTCCATGTTTCTTTGTGACCATAAATTCCACATTGCATGTAAAAAAGTGACTTAAAAGAAAGAGAAATAACACTCATCACTGGATCTGTTTGTACTATGTTGTATATTTCTTGAGGCTGGAGCTCAGAAATAGCACAGGCACAAGACATAATGACATATTTAAGCTTATATTTAAGTTTAAATGTATAATGTGGGTAGATTAAGTCGTTAAAAAAAATCAACAGTTTAGTTCCTGTATGTACGGGTAAGAATTTTAGTTTTTGTTTCTCTAAGATCACTGAATGTATTTTCACAAACAACATATTCAGTGGATGGAGTATGAAAATGTTGGAGCACAGCCACATTATGTTGATCCTTCTTCTTTTCTTTTTATTTTAAAGACAAAAAACTTGTTTCAGGTTGCAGTCACTTTTCTTGTAGTCACCAGATATAAAAATAGAAGTTCAACATTTTGGTAAATGCATTTATTTGATTTCCATTGTCCTTTAAAGGTCAAGCTACACCCAGTAGTGGATTAGTTTAATTTACTGCAAAGACTATAGAAATAGGAGTGCAGACGACCTGGCTTTGTCCAACGGTAATGAAATCCTCCTTCTAGCCCCTTTAAAGTTCAGTAATTACCACGTTATAATTTGTTTAGCTTTACATAACCAGACTTGGATTGGCTTGCTCCATTCATAATTATTCAAGAACCATCATAAAAAAATAAAACCTTGTTTACATTGCTTTAAGTAAATTTGTGCAGGAGTAATGCAGCTAAAATGTCACAAACTAACTTGGCGATTTTTATAAGTCTGACTAAACCTCCTGGTTTATTTATGTTACACAAATCTCTTGTTGAAGGCTTTTAGGGGACAAATGTTTGTATAATTTAGCTCACAAATGTCCCAATTAAAAAAAACATTTGACCACAGGTTGGTAGTAACTAGTTACATTTGCACAGTTACATTTACATAAGCAACTTTTTTGGAAAAATATATATATATTCAACGGAGCAGGAGACCGACAGGCGGATTGGCGCAGCGTCTGCTGTAAAGCGGGCGCTGTACCGGTCTGTCGTGGTGAAGAGAGAGCTGAGTCAGAAAGCGAAGCTCTCGATTTACCGGTCGATCTACGTTCCTACCCTCATCTATGGTCATGAGCTTTGGGTCATGACTGAAAGAACGAGGTCCCGGAAGCGGCCGAAATGGGTTTCCTCCGCAGGGTGGCTGGGCTCTCCCTTAGAGATAGGGTGAGAAGCTCGGTCATCCAGGAG